CTTGAGGGTGGGGGCCCCGCCCCCGGGCGCGCACGTGTCCCCGCCCCCTGGCACCCGGCGGGCGAACAGCCACGCCCCCTGGCGCCCGACAACCTCAAAAGGTTGGGGACCACTGTTATAGACTCACAAAACATGTCGATGGGATCATGAGCTTTGATTTCCCAGAATCCAGAGGTCAGTAGGGTTACTGAGCTGAAGGCCATGGGCGGGACCCACCAGTCACCAGAGAGGGCCAGGCCAAGGCCGCACCAGCCTTGACCCCTCCCTCGGCCACCGGGGAGGCCCGGCTGGGAACACAGTGCAGCAGCCCCGGTTCTCCACATGGCTGCTGGGGAGGGCCAGGCTGGGGGCATGACCATAGCCCCAGCTCTCCACATGGCCAGGAAGGATCGGGCTGAGGGTGGGCGGGGCTTGGCTCCAGGTGCAGGGGCAAAGGTGGAAGGGGCAGAGCTGGATCTTGCCTTCCCCAGCGGGGCTTTCACCAGACGCCCATGCTGAAGGCTACAGTTGCTTTTTGTTAGGAGCTTGAGGGCCACATCTAATTTGTTTCACATGGAGCAGATGCCACCAGCCCCTCCAGTTAATGCTCTCTCACAGCACGGGGTGCTCCCTGGTAAGCCAAGCAGCATGGCTTCTTGTCTATAGAGAGAACGCAGCATAATGGAAGCCGGAGAGCCGGCTGCCCTCCCCCACGTATGGAGTGGAGGCACCACAGAGCTCTCTGGGCCCCGTTTGGCCAGTTGGCTGTATGGTGTCCACAACGGGCTTCCAGGAGCAAGTAGAGCAAAGCAGGTAGTATCCACATTAGTTGTGTTTAACCCAACCAACCCCCTGCTTCCTTTGTTGTTTTTCCAGACCCAAGGCAGTGTGATCTCTGACAAGGAGCACAGAGTTGCATTCTCTGTTTAGGCCACTTTTTACCGGGGAACACACACAAACCACTTCCCAATAGCATATCAAGGGTCTGCACAGTTTGATACTAAGTTGGTAACTCAAATTTGTTGACTCGCTCATGGTAAAAACAAGCCGCCTACAATGAACCATTTCCCCTCCTAGGCCACAAGTGAGGGTAAGCAGAGATCTTCCAAAATCGGAAGCATTAAGGCAGTAAAGCCAAGAAGAAAATCAGCCTGACTTCAGCATTTCCTGCCTTCCTGTTTACAGAGTCTGCTATAGATTAGATGGGTGGCTTTGTAAATACTGCAGAGAGCCCCACGACTTAGATCAGAACTGAAAGAATGTTAAATTTGAAGTCGCTTCTCACTATTTATGTCCTTCAAGCACAGTTGGCTTCAACAGTTGAAGTTTGATGGGCAGTGTTCCCACTGGTCTTTCCCATCCAAGTGCAGAATAATTTTATGTGCACCGAGCCATGTGTGTATGTGCACCACCAGTAGAAACAAAACCTATCTGGGGTGGTCTGCTAATCAGCTAAATCTGATTCTCTTCTGATTCTCTTCTCATAGGGAGCACTTTTGGGCCCGTTTTACGTTTTCCCTCCCTAATTTTCAATAATTCGTACAACATTGTTATAAAGCTTCAGAAGGGGGAGCCAAGTTAGTCTGTAACAGGAGAAACTTAAACAACGAATAGTCTAGGACAGGGCTATTCAACTTTGGGAAGCCCCAGGGGCCACAATGATATTCACAGCACATGCTGAGGGCCGCAGTTTAAGTGTGGTTCCATACACATGCAAATATATGCAAATAGCTTCTTTCATGCTGACGAGCATGAATACAAAGATTAAGGCGAGACTACACAACACACAGGCCCTGTTTAAGTCAGTTCTGCAGATATTAATAAAATGCAACATTTACCCGATTTCCGTCCATATGACAGCACTTTTAATGAGCAATGACAGTCCAGGAATTTAACTACGAAAACACACATCAACCGAAGACCGTTATACTGACTTTTTTGTTTTGGCCACTTGTTGAGCTCTGTGTAAACCCAAACTGCACTGTGGGCTGCAAACAAACGGGCTGCATGTGGCCCGTGTGTTGAGTAGCCCTGGTCTAGTAGCACCTTCAAGACTAACAAGACATTGTTATGTTTGTGCTCGTGACACTGCAGGGGAAGGTTCAAATGACAGAAAACCCCCCATGAAATGGTGAAATATTTCCAGTCTTTGTTTTTGTATCCCCAGCGGCGATATAGGGCAGGGTGAGCAGGGCAGCTGCCCCGGGCCCCGCACTTCAATAGGCCCCGCGCCAGCGCCAAGGGCAGACTGGCCTGGCGGGATACCGGGAATTTCCCCAATGGGCCGTCCGCCGAAGTGCTGGCTGGTGGCTGCTGGAGGAGGAGGGGGATTGTGACAGGGCACCGCAGCCCTGCACTTTAAATTCCCCAGCGCCGGCCAGTACGGGCCAGGTGGGGCCAAGGGAGCACACGTGCAGCATGCTGAAAGGGCGCACAACAGCTGAGAGGGGAGACACCCGGGAGTGGCATGATGTCATGGCCCGGGACTTTAAAACCGCGCGGCCCAGCATTGCACCACTTGGTTCGGCACGTGGTCTGGAGCCTGGCCTGGGGTCATGGCCTCCCTGCAAACTGGAAGGCAGAAGGTGGATGGCAGAGGAAGGGGCTTGTGCTGAGGGGAGGGGGGCAAGTCAGGAGAAGAAAGGGGAAGGCACCAAGGGACAGCGTGGAGGAGAGACAAATGCCAGGGGGCCAAGTGGAGACAATGAGGAAAAGGGCGATGGCAGAGGAAGGGGCTTGTGCTGAGGGGAGGGGGGCAAGTCAGGAGAAGAAAGGGGAAGGCACCAAGGGACAGCGTGGAGGAGAGACAAATGCCAGGGGGCCAAGTGGAGACAACGAGGAAAAGGGCAGGAGGGGAGGTGTCAGTAGGAGGGGGACAGGGTGATGCTGGGAGAGGAGAGGGTAAGGGCATTGGGGGCTAAAGTGGGGAGGGGGAGGTGCTGGGAGAAGGCTTGAAAGAAGGAGTAGGCATGAAGAAGGTGGGGATGTAGCACGGCATGTGTGAGGGCACAGGGGCATGAGGCGAATGGGGGCAGAGGGTGGTGAGGGGGTGGTCATCAGGGAAAAAGAGGGCAAAGGGCGCAGGGGCAGTGCGGGAAGGGGCAGGCATCAGGAGGGTGCAGGGGTAAGGGAAGGTGCAGTGCCAGGGGATTCTGGGGTGAAGTAGAAGGGCAGACACCTGCAGGGGAGGGACCAGCACCAGAGGAGAGAGGCGAGGGAGGTGTTAGCAGAGGGGATGAGGAGGGGTAGCTCACATGATCAGAGTGGGGCTACTGGAGGAGTGGGCAAGGGGGGACGCCTTTTTTCTAGTTTTTCTCCAAAGGGGGGCCCCGCGAAATTGTGCTGTCCTGGGCCCTGCAAAACTCTTATCTGCCCCTGTGTATCCCTTTCTCTTTCCATTCTTTGAAACAAAAGTGAAGTTTGAGGTAGGAACTAGGTGATGTTGGCCTTTTGATTTGACGGTTGGGCATGCCTCCCTGGTAGAAATCCAATCTATTCTTGGGGGTTAAGAGCTTGAACCGCAGGGCTTTGTGCAGGGCAGCCTAAATATCATTGTTTCACTCACCTCGCAGAGTGTTCCTTTGTCCGCAGCTGTGGACTTGCTCGACAAGATGCTGCAGCTGGACGTGGAAAAGCGTCTCACAGCCACAGACGCTCTGGCCCACCCATACTTCGACCAATTCCGAGACATTGAGGAAGAAACTGAGGCCCAGCAGTCCTATGACGATTCCTTGGATCATGAGAAGCTTTCCATAGATGAGTGGAGACGTAAGATGTTGAATTTCTATGGGTTGCCCTCAGTCTGTCAGTGTTTGGGTGGAACTTCCCAGCCCCTCCAACTGTCTATTGTCCCAGACTCACAGGTCATGTCCATACGGTCCCTGGAGGGAACCCCCTTCAGTGCAACAGCCCTTCTCGGGGGGCCTCACACTCTTGGGATTTAAGCTTCCTCACGTCCTGGGACCACACCTCTCTGAATCGCCAGCACCCCTGTCTCTCACTATGGGCCCCTCAGGGAGTCCCTGCGCTTTTGACCCCCAGGGCCTGCACTCCCAGCGGGAACAATGCAGCCCTGTTCTCTAGCCCAGCACATCTGAGTCTCTCCTGCAGCCAGGTGGGCCCTGCCAGCTCTCTCCTTCCTTCCCAGCTTCCATATCCTTTCCCAGCAGCTCCTCCCCTTTGTCTTCTGTCCAGGAAAACAGGGTCACCGGGACCCCTCTATTCTCCACCTCTCCTCTCCTCCGTCCTTTGTTCCACCTGGATGGAACCAATTGATCAGGTCACTGGGGTCCTCTCCTGAAGCCCCTGGTCCTCCCACTGGCCAGAACCGGCTGTGCCATCCGAGCTGAGTCTCCAGGTCTCCATTCTCCAGGCCACAGGCTGGGGTCCCAAGTTCTGTGCTGGCCCTCGGTAGCAACAAACTCCCTTCTCCCCTCACCTTGCTAGACCAGTAACGCCCAAGGACTCTGAGTTCCACCTGCTCTGCAGGCAAACTCTTGGAAAACCCAACAAATCCCCCTCTTCATCACACCTGTACACATGTGCTGAGTGGCTGATGTCACCCTCGTGCCTGTAGGCTGCCTCCTGCACCATGTTGCTGATGTACAGTGTCCCCCCTGCCCTCTTCCCTGGTCTCTAAGCACGCACTGAAGAGACCATCTTCCCTCATCTTCCCATCACTCAGCTGGATTCGCTCCTTTCTCCTCTTCACAGCCTCGTGTTGTGTGTCCCTGCATCTGAAATCTAGTCCCAGCTGAGGTGGACTAGATCACACTCTGATCACACTCTCTTTAGCACCCTAGAGAAACGTGACAGTATTATTTTCAATACGCTAATGATATGCATTATCGTGTTGTTTATTTTCAAGGGCACACTTACAATGAGATTCAGGCCTTCAGTCCGATTGTCCGGAAGGACTCCAAGAGGCGCAGCGGTATGTCATTGTAGTGGCTGGGCTGGCCAAGGTAGGGGCTCACTCCCCATGCTGCATCACAAAAGAGGATGCCTCGCAGGATTCAGACCACACCAAGACTAGAGATTGATCAACGCGGGTGTGTGGAACTCCTGTGGGTGTGAGAGGAACACAAGGATGGATACACAAGGGGGTTGGACTTTGTCCTGTGTGAGGAAACGGCACTAGAAACCGCTATCAGTGCCAAAGATGAATGTATTTCTCATTAAAGCCCCGAGTGGTAGACTTTTACCTGGTGTTTCTTCATTTTCTTACTCATCTGAACCAGGTTTTAATGACTCTCAACTTGGTTGCAAGTGTCCTGGTGTTTCAGTAGGTCTTTCTTACTGTTCCTTCTATATCCGGGCCAGGACTGGATCCGACCTGCCTAACACTTTGATCTGGCCCACGGGCTGCATCTGGCTGCCTTCTGTTTATAATCTGCTTCCCGTGCCACACATTTCCAGCTATTTAAATGGCTCCTGGCTCCCAGTCACAGTGCTGCCTTGGCAGGGGCTGGAGCGGGGAGCTCTTAAAATTACCACAGCAACGTGCGCAGCTGCCATACAACACAGTAGCAGCGGGGCCAGGAGACACGAGCCCTTTTCTCTGCAGGCAAACTCTTGGAAAACCCAACAAATCCCCCACTTCATCACACCCATAGTAGACATGTGCTGAGTACGCCTGATGTCACCCGTGTGCCTGTAGGCTGCCTCCAGCACCGTGTTGCTGATGTACAGTGTCACTCTCGTCCAGTGTTTTTAATTCAAAGCCTCTGGCCAGACAACTCTAGGGGGAGGCTATTCCCAGCCCCGCCCCTTCCAGGGGTGGAGCTGGCCCATGACTCTGTACCTAAGGTTGCCAGGTGTCCAGTATTGACCCAGACAGTCCGGTATTTTCGCCTCATAGAATCAAAGAATCTGGGGCTGGAAGAGACCTCAGGAGGTCATCAAGTCCAGCCCCCTGCCCAAGGCAAGACCCACCCCAACTCAATCAACTCAGCTGGGGATTTGTCAAGCTGAGACTTAAACATCTTTAGGGATGGAAATTCCACCCCCTCCCTAGGGAACCCAGCCCAGTTCTTCACCATTCTCCTAGTGAAATAGTTTTTCCTAATAGTCAATCTAGACCTCCCCCACTGCAGCTTGAGCCCATTGCTCCTTGTTCTGCCATCTGTCACTAATGAGACCAGCCTCTCTCCATCCTCTTTGGAACCTCCCTTCAGGCAGTTGAAGGCTGCTCTCAAATCCCCCCTCACTCTTCTCTTCTGCAGACTAAACAAACCCAAATCCCTCAGTCTCTCCTCATAGGTCATGTGCTCCAGCCCCCTAATCATTTTGGTCGCCCTCTGCTGGACCCTCTCCAATGCGTCCACATCCTTTCTAGAGTGGGGGGCCCAGAACTGGCCACAATACTCCAGATGTGGTCTCACCAGAGCCGAATAAAGGGTGCGCTCCAGCCCCCTAATCATTTTGGTCGCCCTCCGCTGGACCTTCTCCAATGCGTCCACATCCTTTCTATAGTGGGGGGGCAGAACTGAACACAATATTCTAGATGTGGCCTCACCAAAGCTGAATAAAGGGGAATAATCAATTTTCTGGATCTGCTGGAAATATTCCTCCTAATTCACTCCAATATGCCATTAGCCTTCTTGGCTACAAGGGCACACTGTTGATTCATATCCAGCTTCTCATCCACTGTAATCACCAGGTCCTTTTCTGCAGCACTGCTACTTAGACATTCAGTCCCCAACCTGTAACAATGCTTGGGATTCTTCTGTCTCAAGTGCAGGATTCTACACTTGTCCTTGTTGAACCTCATCAGATTTCTTTTGGCCCAATCCTCTAATCTGTCTAGGTCACTCTGGACCCTATCCCTGCCCTCCAGCGTATCTACATCTCCCCCTAGCTTAGTGTCATCTGCAAACTTGTTGAGGGTCCAATCCATCCCCTCATTCAGGTCATTAAGAAAGATGTTGAACAAAACTGGTCCAAGAACCGATTGCTGGGGCACTCCGCTAGAAACCAACTGCCAACCTGACATCGAGCCGTTGATCACTACCCGTTGCGCCCGACAGTCAGGCCAGCTTTCTATCCATCTTACAATCCATTTATCTAATCCATACTCCCTTAACTTGCTGGCAAGAATATTGTGGGAGACCGTATCAAAAGCTTTGCTAAAGTCAGGGTATATCACATCCACTGACTTCCCCACGTCCACAGAGCCACCTCATCATAGAAGCTAATCAGATTGGTTAGTCAAGACTTGCCCTTCATGAATCCATGTTGACTATTCCTGATCGCTTTCCCCTCTTCCAAATGCTTCAAAATGGATTCCTTGAGGATCGCCTCCATGATATTTCCGGGGACTGAAATGTCCGGTATTTTCTGGTTCCCCACCCCCTGGCCAGGAGGCGAAAATACCAGACATCTGGCAACCCTACAACACACTCAGCAACCGGGCCCCGCCCCCGGTCCCCCCCCCCCCGCCCCTCTGGCCACCGGCAAAAAAGCCTTTTCTTAAAAGGCCATGCTGATTTTTTTTTTTTGGCTCAACATCGTTGGTCTCCCCCTTTTTTTCTCTCAACAGAATTTTTTTCCCGGCGTTTTTTGTGTGTGTGTGGGTGGGGAGGGGGAATTTGGTTAAACTATCTGGCAACCATACCTGTACCGAAATTCATTAACTGGCCCCCCTGTGAAAATTATTGCCCTCCCCTGTTCTATATCCTGTTTGTGCCTTTACCAGTTCCTCAGAAGAGCAATTAGGACCTTGCAGGTGGCATTACAATGAGTCAAGCAGGAAAAGAGTTTTTATGAGAGGCCAACCAGCAGATTTACTAGATAGATATTGAGACAGGAAGTCAGAACCAACAGGCTCTACCACAAACTCATTATGTGAATGTTGGCAAGGTCCTTAGGACCGACGGTGTTTTCAAAAGTGGCCTCTAATGTTAGGTCCCTCTATTCTTTTGTTTCCAACTTCAAACATCTTAGCCAACTTTTTTGAATTTGGGTGTTTTCATGTAGGCAGCAAATTCAAAGTGGCCTTACATTCAGAAGTGCTCCAAGATCAGCTTAAAAAAATGTAATCAATAAGTACAAAAAAAGTTTTGTCTCCCATCAATGATTCTGTAACAGCTGTAAAAGTACATTTTGTGCTTTAAAATGATGTAATATATAGGTATAAAGGCAAAAACTGACAAAATGCATGTCTTGAGTTGTTATATATTTGAATCTTTTTTACACCAGAGTTGGAAAGAAATTCAAAATACATTTTTTTAGAAATTCATGCAGTTGGCAGTCTGGAGGTATCTTCTTAGCTTTGTCAGGCCAGGTTTACATGGTAAATCAAAAGAATGCGGCAGTTTTTTCGACCGTGGAAAACCTCGTTTTATGAGGAAGAATGACTTTTTTCGAAAGTGCTCTTTCAAAAAAAGGGCCTATGTAATGCAAACTGTGCTTTTTCAAAAGAGAGCATCCAGACTGCCTGGGTGCTCTCTTTCGAAAAAGCGGCTTGCTTTTTCGAAAGTACTGGTTGTAGTCTAGATGCTCTTTTTCGAAAGAGAGTGTGTGGGAGGTGCTGGATTGTTATGGCAGGGCACTGGGGATATGGGGGTGCAGGAGTTTGGAGATGTGGGGGGTATGAGAGACTCGGGGCAGGGGGTTCAGATGTATGATGGGCTCAGGGTTGGGGTGCAGGAGTGTTATGATGCTACATCCAGAGCGGGGCTGGGCCCCAGTTGGGGGCTTGTTGGCCAGGCTTCATTTTTAAATAAAGTAAAATGTTATGTCCAACACAAAAGGTTTCATTATTGTCTTTTTTTGTGGGGAACCTTTTTTGGGTCAGGGGCCATTGACCCACAGAAAAATCAGTCAGGGACCACACAAGTGAGAAGCAAAAAAAAAAAACCTCAAAAACCCCTCGACCTTCACTGATGTGGCCCCCGACTGAAACACCTCACACCCCTGATGCTCCAGCCACAAGGTGTGGGAAGGGGCAGGGAAGACGAGCTTCAAGGCCTCAGGCCAGATTTACTCTTCTGTGGTTCCAGGGTTAGTGGATTTTATGGCCTCCTCCCAGGTTCTGGGGTGGGGCCAAAAATGAGGGGTTAAGTGAGTATGACAGGGCTGCCAGTGAATGGAATAGGGATGGGGGGGTGCAGGAGGTGGGGTATAGGAGAGGATGAGGTCTGGGCAGGAGGGAGGATGCAAGAGCAGGCTGGGAGTAAGGTGTCTGGCAAGAAGGAGAGAGCAGGAACAAGGGGACCATATAACATAGCCTCCCGCTGCTCCCATTTGCCAGAAGGAAGCCTCCGGGAAGTATGTCCCGGGGGAAGGAAAAGGGCAATGCACGCGGACCTATTTTTGACTCTACTTATCCCTGCACGCTGGATGTGGTAGGGAGGATCGGGGTTTTCTCCGCCTGCTGGCATCCCGATCTTGTGGGGGACCATAAGGCCGTAGCACCAGTGTGGACTCCTTGCTGTGGAGGGAGCTACGGCTCCAGAAGAGCCATATCTGGCTTCCTAGTGAGCCATAGGTTGCCGACTCCTGCTGTAAAGAGAAATCATGCCTTACTCATCTGCTAGAATTGTTTGAAGGGGTCCACAAGCATGTGGACAAGGAGGATCCAGAAAGCCTTTGACAAGGTGCCTCACCAAAGGTTCTTAATCAAAGTACGCTGTCATGGGATAAGGGGGAAGGCCCCCTTAAAGATTGGTAGAGACTGGAACCCAGGGTAGGAATAAATGGTCCGTTTTCAGAATGTGGAGCGGTAACTAGTGTCCTCAGGGGTCCGAACTAGGACCAAGCCTATTCAATGTCTTCATGAATGATCTGGAGAATGGGATGAGCAGTGAGCTGGCAAAATCTGCAGATGATACAAAACTGCTCAAGATGCAGGTTGTACCTCCCTCAGTGGGGACTCTCTGGTCTGGCCCCATGCTGGACAGGGAAGTCTGGCAGTGGGAACTGGCACCTCAGCCAGGATCCAGGTGTTGTTGGGGGTGGGCAGCGTAATAGGAAGTTCTGGCTCCCTGCGGCTTTGGAGCATCAGTCCAGCTCCGGCCCCCAGCTCTGAGCCTGGCCAGGGGGCTGGGCCCAGTCAGGGCCCTGCAGCCTTGGCGACAGTTGGCCAGTCCTGGGGGGCCCCAGCTAGGCAGGAGGCAGGGTAGATGGGGCCAGAGCCCTAGCCCCGGGTCAACATGGCCATGAGGGGAGGCAGGTTGGGACGCCAATGGCAGGGGACCACCT